TATACTTTGCTGGTTTTTGTGTTTCTCTAGAGAACCCCATCCAACACACCCCATCTTCCTTCCGAGGAGTGGCTGGTGGGTTTGAACCGCCAGCCCTCTGATTAGCAGTCCAGTGTCTTAGCCACTATGCTATCAGTAGAACAATAACCCTAGGAAGGTAAATACTCCTTAGTACAATCAACCATTCGCATCAAATGGGCAAGATTTGCCCAAGGACAAAGTTCAGAAGGCAAAAAGGGTTAGGGGAGAAGGAAGAATGTAAATGAGAAACACAGAGAAGTGGGAGGATTGTAATCAATGAAAAGAAACAAAACATGTGAACTACTGAATGTAGAACTGATTTGTTCTGTAAACTTTTACCCAAATCACAATAAAAAGTTAAAAAAAAGAACCTTCCTCATAAATAATCAGTATCATCCATGAGTACTGTGCTCCTTTAAAAAAATCATCTAGATGAGCTCAAATGGTTAACATTTTTTCTAAAGCAAAGATGAGATGGCAATGGAGCTGGAAAACTAGATTACTGGAAACAAAATAATCAGAAATAATGAGAATGTCTGTAGACTGTGAAAAATGTAACCAATGTCAATGAACAATTTACACAGAAAATTGTTAAGTGTCAATCTAATCTGTTGTGTAAATTTTCATTGAAAACGTATTATTTTTTTAAAATCCATGAAAACTCTGTTTACTAAAATTTTTTTTAAAAAAAAGACTAAAGTATTAGCATTTGCATCTGACCAAAAACTTGATCTAAAAAATTTAAATATTACTGAAGACTTCTGGTTAGGGGAAAGGAAAACTAATAAGAGTAGAAATTAACACATAACTGCCTTTTTCAAAAATTTCCCAAAACACCATAATGTAGTTTGAGCCATTTCAGAGTCCACAAAGTTTCTGAAAAATACATATATACATGATATGCTCTAAAATAATGTTTCTATGATTTTTTTAAATGATGATAATCACAAGTGACTGTTAACAACAGCAATTTTAAAAAAGAAACTAAAGGATAAAGGGAAGCTTTTACTTTATTTAAATTGCTTAGTCTGGCAACTGCCTAATATGTCAGATTTACAATCTTACCATTACACTTTAGGGCCTCAAAACTGAAAATAAATTTCCATAAAATTTAGTTCCTCAAGAAGCTTATAGCCAAAGCCTTGAACAAACAGCTACCTGAAGCCCACTTTTCTGGGGAGGCTGGCAATATTCAGAGGACAATGAGTAGAAAGACATACCCTCATAGATAAATATTAATAGACTGAACATACAAAAAGTCAGTTTAATTATTTGTTTCATTAACATTGTGCACTAAAAATCTAACTGGATATTGTATTTCTGTATTGTATTTCTTTAAACATACATTGTAATTTATGTAGTCAATGTTATCTTTTTTATAAGTTATTACATTATTGTTATTACACAGAAATATGCTAAATTACCAGTACTTTTATTTGGATCCCAGATAAGACTGACAATATTAATAGCAACTTACAATCTTTGATTTGAAGATATCCAGCAGACCTGACAAGTGAGTGTACTGATTTGGCACTTTTCGAAGATGAACCATTTCAAAATCAGTTCGGACACCAGGGCCCTGACACTCTCCCACATACATTCTCCTCCATTTGTGATGTATTTGCACAAAAAGTGGCACCTGACTATAGGATATGATAAAATAAGAATAGACTTGAGGTTCATTTTCATTAATTAAAAACTGAGTAATTCCCAATTCCCCAAATTTTTCAGTATTGCCCAACTGTATTGGAAAAATTTAAAATATCAAATATTTAACAGAAGCATGTAAGAAACTATCCAAAAAAAACCCTAGATTTATATTTTAACATACATCCTGGTTACTTTTGTCCTTACACTATTTTGAAAATCATCTGTTTAAAAATGGCTAAAGTGGCAAAACAGCTGAGTAAGTATTTTTTTGAATAAAAGCTATCGTATCACATTAGTGTTTCAAAATTCAGTTATAAAACTTGATCTTCAGATATTAAATAATTCAAATAATATTTTTACTTTATCATATGAAGATACAAACACTCTCCCTGAGCTAATACTATTAAGTAACATTTTAAATCATTCCTTTAAGGAAAAAAAAAGAGAGCCCAAATTATTCACTCAGTATTCAATAAAGCACAAATTAGCTTGTACAAAAAAGTAATTAACAAATTAGTTTTTCCCCAGTAGGTTTACATTTAGCATCTCTTACTCTATTTGATATGCAAATAAATACAAATAAAATAGCAGAATAGTAATTAAACAAATTTCATTTTCTCAAATAGTTCCCCATTTTAGAACAGGGCCTAAAAATACTTGAAAATAATTTTTTAAACATATTGCAAATTATATCTAAAAGTTCTCAGATTTTAATATAATACTTTGCAACAAAATCAAATAAACATTCTAAAGTAAAATACAATAAATAGTACCATTTATTCTTCATCTCAAAATATATACTGAATATAGTTTTCCTTTGGAAACATCCTCCATAAAAATTTTATTACTTTTATCCTACATACAAAATTCCAGTATAATAAAATATATAAGTACATGTATTAAAGTTCTAATTATAATTTTTTTTTTAAATCAGTTACTGTTTTCCTTCATAAATCATTAAAAATAAATTTACCTTACTGTTTAGATTTTTCAAAATGTCCACCTACCAGCCAGTGTTTCCCAAAGCAATAGACACAGAACTCAGAAGAAGATTGCACTTGGATTCACTGAGAACAGCATCATTGTTTGCAGCAGGAGCAATCACCACAAATTCACGCAGTCCATACCTTTAAAAAATAAAAATGTACTACCATTAAACAGGTAAAAACTTCAAAAGTCCATTATTTGAAAAACATGAAAAAATTTCCCTATAGGATATTTAACAGGTCTGAACTACATATACATCTGTTTTTAACAAGTGAACCAACATGAATTTCCTCTGTTTAGAGAACCATTTCCATTATTCACCCATCACCTTGTGTCTATTCTTTAAAAATTAGAAGCAATTTGCTGAAATGACAAAAGAGAGAATATTAAATATTTTGCCTTAAAATTTAAGTTCCCAATAAAAAAGTTGGACTTCACCAAAATTAAAATGTTTTGTACATCAAAGGACATTATCATGAAAATGAAATGGCAATGCACAGAACAGGAGAAAGTATTCGGGAAGCATATATCTGATAAGGTTTAAATATCCAGAATATATAAAGAACTTCCACAACTGAACAACAAAAAATGACAAACAACCTGATATAAAAATAGGCAAAGGGCTTGAATAAAAATTTCTCCAAAATAAATATACAAAATGGGTATTAAGCACTTGAAAAGATGTGCAACATCATTAGTCATTCAAACCAAACCACACTCATTGCTATTGAGTAGATTCCAACTCATAGTGACCCCCTTTCAGTTTTCGAGCAGTAAATCTCTACAGAAGTAAATTGCCTCATCTTCCTTCCGCAGAGCAGCTGGTGGGTTTGAACCACCAACCTTCTAGTTAGCAGTCAAATGCCTTAGGCACTGTGCCACCAGAGTTCCTAAACTTCTCAAAGTTCACTGTTCTTTGATACAATGCAACACAATGCACTGCTTTCAAGTTGGATCCAACTCATAAGATGCCATAAATTGCAGGAAAACAGTTATGAGCCGTTCTGGTTACCTAGTGCCACTCTGACAAAAATTTTCCACAAATGGAATAGCCTTAACAAACAGGAGTTTATTCTTACAATTTGGAGGCTTTAAGTCCAAGTTCAAAGTGCCAAGCTCTAGGGGCTGTGTGAAAGCCCCTCAACCTTAGGGTTCAGCTCTGCCTCCTGCCCACTGGAGCTAGAGGCATTTCTTCACTCAAATAGCTGCTGGCTGCTGAGGCTGTGAAGCTCCAAGGTTGACAAGAAAAAAGGCACAGTCCTGATGTTACCAAACCATACGGCAGGCCATTAACTTAAGTCCATTGTCGGCAGAGCATGGCAGGCTGCTGAGCAACGACACGGCTACATGCAGAGTCCAAGCATGCCATAGGCTAGAGACCATGCCAAGGCTTCTGCTTAAATACACAGGAAGCAGACCACATTCACTAAGGCAACTACTCAGCTGCTCCCAGTAGATTCCACCATGAAGTTGATTACCAATCTCATGGGGAATACTACATCCAGCTGCTCAGCCACTCAACCAGGCCCAGCCAAACTGACACACAAACATCACCATCACATGAGCCATGACTCTTTGTGCTCCTAACAATTACCAAGTATGCTAATTAAGAAATTCTTGCATTCTTTTACTTAATAACATGAGTGCCCTGGCAGTGTAGTGCCTCTTTATTTTTGATATAACTATCACATAATAATGAAAAAATTTCTCCTTTGTCAAGTCCTTTAAAACTCTCAAATTTGCAGCCAAAGTTTATAAAGATGTAAGGTCAAGTTGACAGCCTTCCTACCGAAAATCCCTCTAGAATCCTCAATATGGGGAGCTCTGGTGACATAGTGCCTAAAGCATTTGATTGCTAACTAGAAGGCTGGTGGTTCAAACCCACCAGCCACTCCTTGAAAGGAAGACTGGCAATCTACTTCTGTAGAGATACCACATTGGAAACCCAAGGAGGAGTTGCTAGGTGTCAGAATTGTCTTGACTCGACAGCAGTGTTTCTTTTTTTTTTGGATCCTCAGTATAGGGAGCTCTGGTAGCACAGTGCCTAAGGCATATGACTGCTAACCAGAAGGTTGATGATTCAAACCCACCAGCCACTCCATGGAAGGAAGACCAGGCAATCTACTTTTGTAAAGATTTACTGCCTCAGAAACCCAATGGGGATCGTTATGAGTTGGAATTGACTTGATGGCAGTGTGTTTGGCTTTTTTTTTTTTTTTTAATCCTCAATATATGCATAGTGCCAAAGGCACGTGACTGCTAACCAGAAGGCTGACAGTTCAAACCCACCAGCTACTCCTCGGAAGGAAAATTGGGCAATCTACTTCCATAGAGATATTGCCTCAGAAACCCAAGGAGGGGTCATGATGAGTGGATTCGCCTCAACAGCAGTGAGTTTTATATACATCTATATCTATATATAGATATTTAACAATTTTCAAAATTATTTAATCATTTTCAAAAAAATAAAATAAGTTAGGAAAGGTGTTACTTGTTTGCCTCATTGATTTTAATCTCTGAATATGAAAGTAGTTATGAATGCTCACTTTCAATCTCAAGAAATTACCAAAATAGCAATAAAGATTTAAAAATAAAAAAAGCTAATCCATAATCTCTTTATTGCTAGGATGGCAATTCTCATTTCATCTCCTCACCTCTCCTCCACCCTTTAAAATCAAAACTTATTATGTAGAGGCAGCATCAAATACTGGAAAGAACCCAGAGCTATGAATTTTAAACTCTGGAGATTTTTTTTTAAATGTCCAAGGAAGACACAACACAAAACCAGTGTACATACTACCTCACCATCCCCCACACCAGAATGAAACCACTGTCAACAGTTTCTTGGATATTCTAGAAATATTCTGCCTTTCCTTGTATCCACTCAACATTCACAAAGAGCATACTCTATACCCAGATGTCAAAATTCTTCTCATCTTTTGCCATTACCAATTGTCTACTGCTATACTCCAGGCTTACCAAACTACTTGCAGTTTTCAAGTTCATTTGGGCATTCTTATCTCTACTAAAGGTCTTCCTTTGCTTTGAATTTGTTTTTATCTGACTTATGTTTACCTGTGTTTCAGAATTTACATGAGGTATCATACCTCCTTGGGAAGAATTTTCCTGACCTAATCTGTCTATAGGAGCCTTACTAGCACAGTGGCTAAGTGCTCAGCTGCTAACCAAAAGATCAGCTGTTCAAACCTACCAGCCACTCCATGGGAGAAAGATGTGGCAGTCTGCTTTCATAAAAGATTAGTCTTGAAAACCGTATCAGGCAGTTCTACTCTGGCCTACAGGCTTGCTATGAGATGGAATTGACTCAATATCAACAGGTCAATCTGTCTACATTAGTTTACATCAAATCCTGTGCTGCCCTCTATGAGGGTATCAAATCACACAGTGCTGAAACTGTCTGTAAAAGGCAGAAGCAAGCATGCAAAGTGACAATGAAGAAACCCAGGGGATTATCAGCTCTGGAGATAGGGACTAGAGACTGGGATTTTGCAGGAAAAGACTTTTAGCTGCTGAAAGACTTGTATGTGCTACTATGTGACTCATAGAGATGCCAGTAAAACTGACCCTTCTTAACTCCAATACCTCAACAACAAAAAGACAAAAAATCCAATTAATGAATGGGCAGAAGACATGAATAGACACTTCACCAAAGAAGATATTCAGGTAGCCAACAAACATAGGAAGAAATGCTCACGATCATTAGCCATTAGAGAGATGCAAATCAAAAGATAACATTTTACCCCAGCACTAGTAGCAAAGTTCAACAAGACAAATGCTGGCGACGATGAGGAGAGATTGGAACTCTTCATACACTGCTGGTGGGACTGTGAAATGATACAACCACTGTGGAAAGCAGTATGGTGATTCCTTAAAAAGTTGGAAACAGAAATACCACTTGACCCAGCCATTCCATTACTAGTTATATACCCTAAAGAAGTGAGAGCCAGGACAAGAACAGACATGCAAACCCATGTTCATCACAGTACTATTTACAATAGCCAAAAGATGGAAACAACCTAAGCACCCATCAACTGAAGAATGGATAACCAAACTATGGTACATAGACATAATGGAATACTATGCAACCCTAAAGAATAACATAGAATCTGCAAAACACTGCATAATGTGGATGAACTTAGAGGACATTATGCTGAGTGAAATAGTCTATTACAAAAGGACAAATACTATATTAGTGCAT